CGGATTTAGAGGGGGGCCAGGGTGCCCAGCCCCCTTTTGGTGGAAAAATTTGGTTGATTATATAGGGAATCACTAATGCATGACTGGAGCGGACCCCCTCTTATGCAGTCAGTGCCCCCCCCTTTTATAAACATTTCTGGATCCGCCACTGTTTTTTACTAGTATCTGATATTTACAATAGAGACTGCATCGATATGCACCTAAAAAGAATATTAATGTGCAATATGAGTTGGTACAATTCTAAAATTTGACAGGTGACGAAAGTTGTATTCTACATGTCTGTCATAATTCACCAGATAATAGTACGACATGAAAATTAGTAAACAAATTATCAATAAAGTGCAAATATTTATTACCGTAATTATGGGGATATATGATAATTTTGGGTGGAAATGTGAAAGAGGTATATCTTGACATTCTGAGCATGTTTGTCCTTGTCAGATTTTCATATGACCATGTGAGCTATAAAATAAATAAATGAATTCAAAAATCATGAGTTACTCGTCCTTTTTCTAAAAAAAGTTCATCGGAAGATACCAAGAACTTGTTGATAAATATTCCATATCAACTTCACAAATAATACATGATGGTCTTGAACTATAGATTCTAGGGACTGACACGTTGTTTATCATCTTAATTACGTGTTATAGTTTTCTTTTATTTGTCTTTGTAAATATTTAACCTTTACTGCTTAGACCTTTTTTTATTATATCCATTTGGAATGGTTCAATACTTAAGCATCCCGCCAATATGTTGTTGTGCTGTGGTCATTTTTGTATTCTTGTCTTTCTTTTTTGCTTTTGTGCTTTGTCTATATGCCTTTTTTGTGTTTCTTTGTTCATATATTTGTTTGTTTTTATAGTGATTAAGATTATAACACAATGTTGACTGCTGTACCCCTATTTTTGACATTTTTACCTATTATGTCTGTGTTCCCACATTGTTGTCAATATATGCAATATAATGGAATTTTAAACGACTGTCATACAAGTAAGATATTTAGCTAGCTAAAAAAGCAGGTTTAATCCAGCATTTTCTTCATAAGGAAATGTCTGTACCAAGTCAGAAATATGACAGTTATTTTCCATTCGTTTGATGTGTTTGAGCTTTTAATTTTGCCATTTGATAAGGGACTTTCAAATTAGAATTTTCCTTGGAGCTCGGTTTTTTTGTTATTTTACTTTTCCCCTCCAAGATCATTATATAGATAGTTGATTTTAAACAAACAAAAATGATTAAATCTCTCTGTAAATTATGTTTCTACCATAAGAATTGATAATATGTTTCTCCTTTGAATGAAAATTCATACAAATAAATTGCATTTCTATGTTAAAGTTTTCAGATGTAATAAAACAAAATTAAATGTATACATGCAACAATCATTTGAGATAAAAAAAAATGACGGTAATGATTTTCAGTCACCTAAACTACCTGTAATATTGTATCATATTGATATTCATAAAAAAATCATGTATATAGCGATGGAAGAGTCTGTCAGTATGTTCGTTCCTCCAGTCCTCTTTCCTTTCTTTTGTCATTCTTTCCACTTTCGTATCTGCAACTGCTCAACAGAAATATTTGAAACTTTGACAGATATTTTATCACATAATGGACTTTTGAATCTTTAATTTCGATTCTTCATCTGAAAGATTGTTGTGGTTTAGTCTGGGTTGCCATGGTCTGTGCACTCAGTCATATCTGCATACTTAGTTCCTAAACACTTTATTACAATTTATTGAAATATTCTTAAAGTAGCAATCTTAACCGTATATGCTATTGTGCACCTCCTATTTTTTTTTTATCGTAATCATTTTGGGACTTCCTTTACCAAAGCATGAACTATGGACGGTGAATCATTTTGTGAGCTTTGCTCAAGTCTGAACATTCAACTTTCTAAATTAACTTTCTTGAACAAACGCTTGACATGTTTGGAATCAAAATTGGTCTTCAATTGTTTGGTACACATTTAATTAAGTTATGTTGAAAACTTGTTGTTTCTAAAAAAAACATTGTAAAGTAATGCCATTCAAACATGTGACGTAATATTGTAAAGTAATGCCATTCAAACATGTGACGTAATATTGTAAAGTAATGCCATTCAAACATGTGACGTAATATTGGAAAGTAATGCCATTCAAACATGTGACGTAATATTGGAAAGTAATGCCATTCAAACATGTGACGTAATATTATAAATTAATGCCATTCAAACATGTGACGTAATATTGTAAAGTAATGCCATTCAAACATGTGACGTAATATTGTAAAGTAATGCTATTCAAACATGTGTCGAAACATTGTAAAGTAATGTCATTCAAACATGTGTCGTAACATTGAAAGGTAAAGCCATCCAAACATGTGTCGAAACATTTTAAAGTAATGTCATTCAAACATGTGTCGAAACATTATAAAGTAATGTCATTCGAACATGTGTCGAAACATTGTAAAGTAATGCCATTCAAAAATGTGTCGAAATATGTAAAATAATGCCATTCAAACATGTGTCGAAACATTGTAAAATAATGCCATTCAAACATGTGTCGAAACATTGTAAAGTAATGCCATTCAAACATGTATCGTAACATTGTAAAATAATGCCATTCAAACATGTGACGAAACATTGTAAAATAATGCCATTCAAACATGTGACGTAACATTGGAAAATAATGCCATTCAAACATGTGACGTAACATTGGAAAATAATGCCATTCAAACATGTGACGAAACATTGTAAAGTAACGCCATTCAAACATGTGACGAAACATTGTAAAATAATGCCATTCAAACATGTGACGTAACATTGGAAAGTAATGCCATTCAAACATGTGACGTAACATTGTAAAGTAATGCCATTCAAACATGTGTCGAACTATTGTAAAGTAAAGCCAGTCAAACATATTACGTAACTTGTGAAGTAAAGCCATTCAATCATGTGACGTAACATTGTATAGTAATGCCATTCAAACATGTGACGTAACATTGGAAAATAATGCCATGCAAACATGTGACGTAACATTGTATAGTAATGCCATTCAAACATATGTGACGTAACATTGTAAAGTAATGCCATTCAAACATGTGACGTTACATTGTATGGTAATGCCATTCAAACATGTGACGTAACACTGTAAAGTAATGCCATTTAAACATGTGACGTAACATTGGAAAATAATGCCATTCAAACATGTGACGTAACATTGTAAAGTAATGCCATTCAAACTCTTGACGTAACATTGTAAAGTAATGCCATTCAAAAATGTGACGTGACATTATATAGTAATGCCATACAAACATGTGACGTAACATATATTAAAGTAATGCCATTCAAACATGTGACGTAACATTGGAAAGTGATGCCATTCAAACATAATTATTACGTAACTTGTGAAGTAAAGCCATTCAATCATGTGACGAAACATTGTAAAGCAATGTCATTCAAACATGTGACGTAACATTGTAAAGTAATGCAATTCAAACATGTGACGTAATATTGTAAAGTAATGCCATTCAAACATGTGACGTAACATTGTAAAGTAATGCCATTCAAACATGTGACGTAATATTGTAAAGTAATGCTATTCAAACATGTGATGTAACATTGTAAAGTAATGCCATTCAAACATGTGACGTAACATTGTTTAGTAATGCCATCCAAACATGTAACGTAACATTGTAAAGTAATGTCATTCAAACATGTGACGTAACATTGTAAAGTAATGCCATTCAAACATGTGACGTAACATTGTAAAGTAATGCCATTCAAACATGTGACGTAACATTGTAAAGTAATGCCATTCAAACATGGGACGTCACATTGTAAAGTAAAGCCATTCAAACATGGGACGTAACATTGTAAAGTAAAGCCATCCAAACATGTGACGTAACATTGTAAAGTAAAGCCATACAAACATGTGACGTAACATTGTAAAGTAAAGCCATCCAAACATGTGACGTAACATTGTAAAGTAAAGCCATCCAAACATGTGACGTCACATTGTAAAGTAAAGCCATCCAAACATGTGACGTAACATTGTAAAGTAATGCCATTCAAACATGTGACGTAACATTGTAAAGTAATGCCATTCAAACATGTGACATGTGACATAACATTGTGAAGTAAAGCCATTCAATCATGTGACGAAACATTGTAAAGGAATGCCATTCAAACACGTGACGTAACATTGTAAAGTAATGCCATTCAAACATGTGAAGTAACATTGTATAGTAATGCCATTCAATCATGTGACGAAACATTGCAAAATAATGCCATTCAAACATGTGACGTAACATTGTAAAGTAATGCCATTCAAACATTTGTCGAAATATTGTAAAGTAATGCTATTCAAACATGTGACATAACATTGTAAAGTAATGCCATTCAAACATGTGACATGTGACATAACATTGTGAAGTAAAGCAATTCAATCATGTGACGAAACATTGTAAAGTAATGCCATTCAAACACGTGACGTAACATTGTAAAGTAATGCCATTCAAACATGTGAAGTAACATCGATAGTAATGCCATTCAATCATGTGACGAAACATTGCAAAATAATGCCATTCAAACATGTGACGTAACATTGTAAAGTAATGCAATTCAAACATGTGACGTAATATTGTAAAGTAATGCCATTCAAACATGTGACGTAACATTGTAAAGTAATGCTATTCAAACATGTGACGTAATATTGTAAAGTAATGCTATTCAAACATGTGACGTAACATTGTAAAGTAATGCCATTCAAACATGTGACGTAACATTGTTTAGTAATGCCATCCAAACATGTAACGTAACATTGTAAAGTAATGTCATTCAAACATTTGACGTAACATTGTAAAGTAATGCCATTCAAACATGTGACGTAACATTGTAAAGTAAAGCCATCCAAACATGTGACGTAACATTGTAAAGTAAAGCCATCCAAACATGTGACGTAACATTGTAAAGTAAAGCCATCCAAACATGTGAAGTAACATTGTATAGTAATGCCATTCAATCATGTGACGAAACATTGCAAAATAATGCCATTCAAACATGTGACGTAACATTGTAAAGTAATGCCATTCAAACATTTGTCGAAATATTGTAAAGTAATGCTATTCAAACATGTGACGTAACATTGTTTAGTAATGCCATCCAAACATGTAACGTAACATTGTAAAGTAATGTCATTCAAACATGTGACGTAACATTGTAAAGTAATGCCATTCAAACATGTGACGTAACATTGTAAAGTAATGCCATTCAAACATGTGACGTAACATTGTAAAGTAATGCCATTCAAACATGGGACGTCACATTGTAAAGTAAAGCCATTCAAACATAAGACGTAACATTGTAAAGTAAAGCCATCCAAACATGTGACGTAACATTGTAAAGTAAAGCCATACAAACATGTGACGTAACATTGTAAAGTAAAGCCATCCAAACATGTGACGTAACATTGTAAAGTAAAGCCATCCAAACATGTGACGTAACATTGTAAAGTAAAGCCATCCAAACATGTGACGTAACATTGTAAAGTAATGCCATTCAAACATGTGACGTAACATTGTAAAGTAATGCCATTCAAACATGTGACATGTGACATAACATTGTGAAGTAAAGCAATTCAATCATGTGACGAAACATTGTAAAGAAATGCCATTCAAACACGTGACGTAACATTGTAAAGTAATGCCATTCAAACATGTGAAGTAACATCGATAGTAATGCCATTCAATCATGTGACGAAACATTGCAAAATAATGCCATTCAAACATGTGACGTAACATTGTAAAGTAATGCAATTCAAACATGTGACGTAATATTGTAAAGTAATGCCATTCAAACATGTGACGTAACATTGTAAAGTAATGCTATTCAAACATGTGACGTAATATTGTAAAGTAATGCTATTCAAACATGTGACGTAACATTGTAAAGTAATGCCATTCAAACATGTGACGTAACATTGTTTAGTAATGCCATCCAAACATGTAACGTAACATTGTAAAGTAATGTCATTCAAACATTTGACGTAACATTGTAAAGTAATGCCATTCAAACATGTGACGTAACATTGTAAAGTAATGCCATTCAAACATGTGACGTAACATTGTAAAGTAATGCCATTCAAACATGGGACGTCACATTGTAAAGTAAAGCCATTCAAACATGGGACGTAACATTGTAAAGTAAAGCCATCCAAACATGTGACGTAACATTGTAAAGTAAAGCCATCCAAACATGTGAAGTAACATTGTATAGTAATGCCATTCAATCATGTGACGAAACATTGCAAAATAATGCCATTCAAACATGTGACGTAACATTGTAAAGTAATGCCATTCAAACATTTGTCGAAATATTGTAAAGTAATGCTATTCAAACATGTGACGTAACATTGTAAAGTAATGCCATTCAAACATGTGACATGTGACATAACATTGTGAAGTAATGCCATTCAAACATGTGACGTAACATTGTTTAGTAATGCCATCCAAACATGTAACGTAACATTGTAAAGTAATGTCATTCAAACATTTGACGTAACATTGTAAAGTAATGTCATTCAAACATTTGACGTAACATTGTAAAGTAATGCCATTCAAACATGTGACGTAACATTGTAAAGTAATGCCATTCAAACATGTGACGTAACATTGTAAAGTAATGCCATTCAAACATGGGACGTCACATTGTAAAGTAAAGCCATTCAAACATGGGACGTAACATTGTAAAGTAAAGCCATCCAAACATGTGACGTAACATTGTAAAGTAAAGCCATCCAAACATGTGAAGTAACATTGTATAGTAATGCCATTCAATCATGTGACGAAACATTGCAAAATAATGCCATTCAAACATGTGACGTAACATTGTAAAGTAATGCCATGCAAACATTTGTCGAAATATTGTAAAGTAATGCTATTCAAACATGTGACGTAACATTGTAAAGTAATGCCATTCAAACATGTGACATGTGACATAACATTGTGAAGTAAAGCAATTCAATCATGTGACGAAACATTGTAAAGTAATGCCATTCAAACACGTGACGTAACATTGTAAAGTAATGCCATTCAAACATGTGAAGTAACATTGTATAGTAATGCCATTCAATCTTGTGACGAAACATTGCAAAATAATGCCATTCAAACATGTGACGTAACATTGTAAAGTAATGCCATTCAAACATTTGTCGAAATATTGTAAAGTAATGCTATTCAAACATGTGACGTAACATTTTAAAGTAATGCCATTCAAACATGTGACATGTGACATAACATTGTGAAGTAAAGCAATTCAATCATGTGACGAAACATTGTAAAGTAATGCCATTCAAACACGTGACGTAACATTGTAAAGTAATGCCATTCAAACATGTGAAGTAACATCGATAGTAATGCCATTCAATCATGTGACGAAACATTGCAAAATAATGCCATTCAAACATGTGACGTAACATTGTAAAGTAATGCAATTCAAACATGTGACGTAATATTGTAAAGTAATGCCATTCAAACATGTGACGTAACATTGTAAAGTAATGCTATTCAAACATGTGACGTAATATTGTAAAGTAATGCTATTCAAACATGTGACGTAACATTGTAAAGTAATGCCATTCAAACATGTGACGTAACATTGTTTAGTAATGCCATCCAAACATGTAACGTAACATTGTAAAGTAATGTCATTCAAACATTTGACGTAACATTGTAAAGTAATGCCATTCAAACATGTGACGTAACATTGTAAAGTAATGCCATTCAAACATGTGACGTAACATTGTAAAGTAATGCCATTCAAACATGGGACGTCACATTGTAAAGTAAAGCCATTCAAACATGTGACGTAACATTGTAAAGTAAAGCCATCCAAACATGTGACGTAACATTGTAAAGTAAAGCCATACAAACATGTGACGTAACATTGTAAAGTAAAGCCATCCAAACATGTGACGTAACATTGTAAAGTAAAGCCATCCAAACATGTGACGTAACATTGTAAAGTAAAGCCATCCAAACATGTGAAGTAACATTGTATAGTAATGCCATTCAATCATGTGACGAAACATTGCAAAATAATGCCATTCAAACATGTGACGTAACATTGTAAAGTAATGCCATTCAAACATTTGTCGAAATATTGTAAAGTAATGCTATTCAAACATGTGACGTAACATTGTAAAGTAATGCCATTCAAACATGTGACATGTGACATAACATTGTGAAGTAAAGCAATTCAATCATGTGACGAAACATTGTAAAGTAATGCCATTCAAACACGTGACGTAACATTGTAAAGTAATGCCATTCAAACATGTGAAGTAACATTGTATAGTAATGCCATTCAATCTTGTGACGAAACATTGCAAAATAATGCCATTCAAACATGTGACGTAACATTGTAAAGTAATGCCATTCAAACATTTGTCGAAATATTGTAAAGTAATGCCATTCAAACATGTGACGTAACATTTTAAAGTAATGCCATTCAAATATGTGTCGAAATATTGTAAAACAATGCTATTCAAACATGTGTCGAAACATTGTAAAGTAATGCCATTCAAACATGTGACGAAACATTGTAAAATAATGTGATTGCTTCTTTGTTAGAAACTAGAAGTTTGTTGGTCTGTTTATCAAATTAAATGGCAGACGGTTGACAGAGACCATCCTCTTTAGTGAGAATTTCCTTGTAATGTTTTCCATTGTTTGTTGTAATGACTGCATTTGAAGAAGCCTCTCCGACAACGAAGATGTTTCCGTCATTATCTAAACAAATGCCGGCAAGACACTGCAGTAAAACTGAATCATCCTTAAATAGATATAAGAAGATGTGGTATGAGTGCCAATGAGACAACTCTCCATCCAAGTCAAAATTTATAAAAGTAAACCAATATAGGTCAAAGGACGGTCTTCAACACGGAGCCTTGGCTCACACCGAACAGCAAGCTATAAAGGGCCCCAAAAATTACTAGTGTAAAAAACGAGAAACGAGAAACACTTATGAACCACATGTCCAAATATGTGATCCATTATAATCACAACATACTACACTGTGAATGTCTCTATTAGTGAAGTAAATCTTGTTTTCGAATACAGATATGTTAGAATTCATGTGCAAGTCATAATTGATCACCGAGAGGGAATATTATCAACAATGTTAAGTTTAGTAATACCACGTCCTTCAACACAGACAAACATTGAGTCATAATCACGTGCGATAACCCTTGACGATTACGAAGGTTGATGAATTTAATTTTCTTTTGGCTTTCAACGTCAATAATGTGAATTCCAGTCTTCTTTAAGGACCCTCCGAATATGATAGCCACAGTTTTATCATTGATAAATATTGAGTCAAATTAGCTACTATGATCAAACATCATGTTATAACTGAATGTACCATTAGACTGCACAACCTTCAGCATTTTATGGTCAATGAAGAATACATCGCCACAAACTTATATGCAACAACCTCTAATACTAGTATTGTCCCCACCTGTTTTAATTTTCTTTAACTAATTTCACATTAATAATGGTTCTCGCTGGATCTTTAATCATTTCTTTTTCAAGTTTGTCAAATTGTTTATTTATTTGAGTTCTTATTTGTTGAATATGTGCAAGATTTTGTTTCTTCTTTTTTTTTCTGAGTCTAACAGTCTAGTTTCTAAATCTTGATAGTCTTTGGATGCCTTAGTGACTTCAGACGACAAGAGAGATTCAGATTTGGAAATTGGTGCTAGTTCATTATTTTGGGTTACACAAATGGCCTTTTCACATGACTCTGAGTCTTACGTTCTAGTTTCTAAATCTTGAAAGTCCGTTGATGTCTTTTTAGTGACTTCAAACGACAAGAGATATTCTGCTTTGGAAATTGGTGCTAGTTCATTATTTTGGGTTACACAAATGGCCTTTTCACATGACTCCGAGTCTTACGTTCTAGTTTCTAAAACTTGAAAGTCCGTTGATGTCTTTTTAGTGACTTCAAGCGACAAGAGAGATTCGGATTTGGAAATTGGTGCTAGTTCATTATTTCGTGTTGCACAAATGGCTTTTTCACATGACTCTGAGTCTAACGTTCTAGTTTCTAAATCTTGAAAGTCCGTTGATGTCTTTTTAATGACTTCAAACGACAAGAGAGATTCGGATTTGGAAATTGGTGCTAGTTCATTATTTCGGGTTGCACAAATGGCTTCTTCACATGACTCTGAGTCTAGCAGTCTAGTTTCCAAATCTTGAATGTTCTTGGATGTCTTTGTTACTTCAAACGACAAGCGAGATGCAGATTTGGGAATTGGTGCTAGTTCATTATTTCGTGTTGCACAAATGGCCTTTTCACATGACTCTAAGTCTAACAGTCTAGTTTCTAGATCTTGAAAGTCTTTAGATGTCTTAGTGACTTTAAACGACAAGAGAGATTCGGATTTGGAAATTGGTGCTAGTTCATTATTTCGGGTTGCACAAATGGCTTTTTCACATGACTCTGAGTCTAACAGTCTAGTTTCTAGATCTTGAAAGTCTTTGGATGTCTTAGTGACTTCAAACGGCAAGAGAGATTCGGATTTGGAAATTGGTGCTAGTTCATTATTTCGGGTTGCACAAATGGCTTCGTCACATGACTCTGAGTCTAGCAGTCTAGTTTCCAAATCTTGAATGTTCTTGGATGTCTTAGTTACTTCAAACGACAAGCGAGATGCAGATTTGGGAATTGGTGCTAGTTCAGTATTTCGTGTCGCACAAATGGCTTTTTCACATGACTCTGAGTCTAACAGTCTAGCGTCTAGATCTTGAAAGTCTTTGGATGTCTTAGTGACTTCAAACGACAAGCGAGATTCAGATTTGGAAATTGGTGCTAGTTCATTATTTCGGGTTGCACAAATGGCCTTTTCACATGACTCTGAGTCTAACGGTCTTGTTTCTAGATCTTGAAAGTCTTTGGATGTCTTAGTGACTTCAAACGACAAGAGAGATTCTAATTTGGAAATTAGTGCTAGTTCATTTTTTCGGGTTGCAAAAATGGCTTCTTCACATGACTCTGATTGCCAGATTTATGTTGATATTTTGGCCATCGGGATACCTGAAATATATATATATATATATATGTAATCTTATATACAACTGGATGATTCTGTTTAGTCCCATGATAACCAGTATTTCTTTCTTAAATATTCAATCAAATGCCATTCAATATTTTATTGGAAAGAGCACAATAGAGGTGATCCAAATAAAGATATAGTTGAGACGTTTTTCCTCCGTTCACACACATGCACTTTTTCATCACATTGAAATGCTTCAAATGTCTTCTCTACTTTATTAGTTAATAATACTCCATTTCACTAGCATCTTTTTACTACAAATATTTGGAAAGTATCTTAATTTTAAAGCAACATGATTATTGAACAAGAGGCTCCTATTAGTCATCTGGCATTTTTAGTTAAATATAAGGCGAAAATGC